GGTGGGGGTGGCGATGAAGACCTACAACCGGTCCCCTCCGACGTCGAGGTGGGTTAGAAGGTGGGTTCAAGGATGCTGAAAGTGTGCTGACTTGGCAGTCAGCTCCAGAGTTCCGACATCGGAATGTCGGAGTCCGAGGACGACTAGGCCGGGCATGGATCACCTTTGAAACACCTTCAGCTTGTGTCGCTGCTTACTGCTGATTGCGTGGAGGCTCTGGCGACTCTGGCGGCTGGTGGCTGGTGGTGAGCCGTGGGTCCACACTTGGAGGGTCGCGGGGCTTGGTAACTGGTTATTTTAGGGACTTATAACTACCCCATAACCGTAACCCCAATTAGGGTCCCATTTAGGGTACTTATAAGTCTACTTACTACCTACTTACTAAGTTACTAGGTCCCCCGACCGTCCAAGCAGGGCTGCAGTGCATTGCATGGCAAGGCTCCTTTGTAAGCGTCCGCTATAACTGTTGATAATAATAGGAAATATATGTGGGGCATAAAGTCATAGAGAGCGTTGCCTTTGCAGTGTGATGCGGCCGATGCGCTTCGATCCCTTTGCAGTGCCGCGGCATCGTCAATTTTGAAAAGAGCCTCTGATTCTGATTGCTGAGTGCTGCCTGTGCCGTGCCCTTCCAACCTTCGGCCCTGCGATCACCGATCAAGTGCGTGTTGAATTAGTGACGTAGTAACGTAGAAACTGGTAGTTAGCCGTTAGCCACGAGGAGTTTCAGTACTCAGCAGTCGTAGTTAGTAATGGCAGTAGGTAGTTGTAGTAAGTAGTAGTAGTACTAGTAGTAGTAGTAGTAGTAGTAGTAGTAGTAGTAGTAGTAGTAGTAGTAGTAGTAGTAGTAGTAGTAGTAGTAGTAGTAGTAGTAGTAATAGCAGTAGTAACCTAGTAACAATAATTTTGTATTACCAGGACTACTGTAGTGACTACTGTGAGTGACTATCACCAATATCAATACAAAGTAACAATTCCTGCCAGATTTTGTTGCCTCAATCCAGGTTTGAAAACAACCATCAAACATCAGCCATGCTCGCATAGCCATTGGCTCATTGCGTGCGGGTGGATTGTTTTTTCTGGGCAGTGGCTGGAGTCCAGCAGGACTCATTGTGCGAGACGTGTGGCAGGACTGGTGCAGCTGGCTATAGTTGTGACTATAGTGTGCTGCTTCAGGTAGCTGTTGCATTGCGATAGCAGCAAGCCAGGTGTAGGCTGGCTGCTTTGCTCAGTTGCGGTCATAGAGATGACAGAGATGGCCCATGGCTGGGCTGACTTACAGGAAGAGTTGCTTTCTTCTCAAGAGTCTCTGGCCGAGTTGTCAGAGATTGCAGATGCTTGCAGATCAGAGACATCAACTTCAGATTCTTTGCCTGACTGCAGTTTGTGGTGGGTGAACCAGATCAAATGTCATAGCAGTGGATATGAAAGGCCACTGCCACCAAAGCAAGCGATAACATTGCTGTCAGCTTGCTCGGCATCCTGCGCAGAGTGCATGGTGCTCAAGGCGCTGGGTCGGGCGGCAATTGCAGATTCTAGATTCTGGAGAGCAGGGCTGGGTTTGGGTGGCAGTGTGAATGTTTTATGATTCATACGAGAGTCTGCAGGAAGCACTGCTCAGTAAACATGTCTCTGAACATCCATCTGTACATGCCACTTTCAGTTTCATGTCTTGACGCTGGCGACCTTTGTGGACATTGACACGGTAATGATGCTTCAACCCTGCTGTGCTGCTGCTACTGGTACTGGTAACTGGTAGCTGATAGCCGATAGCTGCTACTCAAAGCTGCTGCTTGTTGGCACAGTAGCTCAGTAGTTGTAGCTGCTCACAGGTTGCTTTGTAGTACACAGTTAGTAAGATGGATAGTGATTGTTCTTGTTACTGCTACTGCGACTGATCAATGACTTCAGGCTAGCGGCTTGTGACTAGTGAAAATAGTGTCTGACCCGTGACTAGTGACTAGTGACCAGAGTATAAACAACATGTACCAGCTTCACTCGACTCTGCGACTCTAGCTGGACCTGGACTTACTTGTACCGGCACCTTCCTAAGCCCCCTTTGACCTCTTGACCCTTTGGTGCTGCAGGCCTTGGGAATCCCCTTCACTTGCGTGAGCACGTCAGAGCCACAGAAGGCCTTCCGCGCTTTCCAGGCTGCAAATCCTGATTTCTGTATCCAGCACATGCATCATACAATGGGAGATCAGACGATGGGTGCGGCTTGCAGTTTGCATCCTGAGAATGAGGAGTGCCTGATTCCGGAAAGCCCTTCTTTGGCAGTGTTCGGCACTCCATGTCCCCCATACAGCATGTTTCGATGCAAAAGGGAGGTCGCAGGAAGTGTTCGCTCACACAGGGCATATGATGTGATGTTCAAAGACTCCATAGACTGGTTGCGGACTCATCAGCCAGCAGCTGCCATCGCTGAGCAAGTTGCCGGTTTCGCTGCTAGTGAGTCCAACGATGTCAGCGAAAGCCCCCTGGACAGGTCGGCTCCTCAGTCAGTTAAGTTCACTGCTGAGCTGCTGCTGCTGCTGCTACTGATACTGCTACAGTACAGTATCTCAGTAGCTGCTACTGCTGCAGTTGCTCCTGCTACAGTGCTAGAGCTGCTAAACTGCTAGAGTGCTGCTACAGTGCAACAATGTACTACAGTGCTACGGTTAGCTAGCCGCTACCGGTTAGCTGTGTTTAGCTTGAGTTTGGTTGAGGCTCGGGTTTCAGATGTTTGCTGACGGTGACAGTTCACAGTTCAGTCAGTACTGACAATTCTCAGTCCTCGTCACAGCTGTCACTGTCAGAGTCAGCAAAATGCAGCAACTCGCCGCTACTCACTAGTCACTAGTCGTCATTAGTAACTAGTAAAAAGTACCAATGTTCTAGTAACTGTAACTCGTAGTAACTAGTGACTGGTGTCACGAGTGGCTGTCACTAGTGTTCACTTGTGATGATGGCTGCACGGCCACTGCGGCTACTGACTTCTGCGCTGTGGTGGCTACTCAGCTACCTCGCTGTGTTGCTAGCTGCTAGCTGAAAGCTGTCAAAAGGTCGCTAGTCATGCCTGTGTTATGTTTGGTTCTCCACCATCACGCACTGTTCACGATGCTAGCTAGCTAGCTGCTGCTGACCATGACACAAGCTGGCACATATTTGATTAATTGCACTTAGTTGAGTTTTGCTGTTGGCGTCCACTTGTTTCTATTGATTCTAGTGACTAGTGACTGGTGTTTTTTTCGTAAATTCTAGTGATTCGAGTGAGCTTCCGATGACCTCTGCCAACATACTCACTCCAATACATCTCAACTGATAGCTCAGCGGCTGCTTGAAGCCAGCTTGCGAGTTCAACAACGACATAATGATTCACATAATGACATGGATGACATAGGAGGTGTCCAACCCCGCAAAGCTTCCAGAAACTGAACAAGCTCCACATCTTAGTCAGTCTTAGAGTCTTAGCTCAGCAGGTCAAAAGCCCAATTCCTTTCCATGCAGGTACATGACTCTGCTTCGTGATGCTGGCTTTCCTCACGGCGGTTACCATGTCCACATCCAGCACATGGACATGAGCACATTTGTGCAAGTTTCGAGGCCAAGGACAGCCAGGGCTGCAGGTTAACGGTTAGTTAATAGTTAAAGGTTCAGTGCCATTATCATTATCATTATCAGTATATCAGTAACATCAGTATCATCCTAAGCTGATCATTAGCCACGCTGGAAGTCAACAAGCCTGCTGCTGCTAAGTTTGAAGGGCTGTGTGGTTTATACAGAGTCACTGAGTGGTGAGTAGTGACTAGTGAGACTAGTGAGCTGAGTAGTGAGCACTGACTATATTAACTGTTGTGTACTGGACACTCTGGGTTTCAGCGGCCTTTGGGTTGGCGAATACTCAGAAGTCTGAGTGTCTTGGCAGGTCCAGAGTCCAGGTACACCAGGTACAGGTATGGCAGGTAAGGTATGGTATCGGTACAGGTACAGTGCAGGTTTTCGGATATTCAGAGGAGAATGAGGGCTCCATAGTTCGACATTCTCCAGTTTCTACAGTGTAAATTGTACATTGTACATGGGTTCTCATGTTGTGCAGCGGTGCAGTGTCTGTGTGCGCCAGTGTGCGCATGTGGCCAATTGCTGTGTCACTGTGTGTGCAGGTGTGTGTGTGTGTGCCTGTGGGCCTGTGGCACTGTGCTGTAGCTGTAGCTGTGTGTAGCTGCAGCTGTGGCTCATCAGCTTGCTGAATGAAGGCCAGCTGAGCTCAGCTAGCCAATCAAGGCTTACCGGCATACCACAAGCCACAAGCTTGACTGCTGAGCATAACGGTATAACGAGCCTAACAGGGCCTAACAGGTACTCACACTTACACCTGACTGATTTCAGCAGTTAATGCTGTTATAGTGACTATTATAGTGTTACTGATTACTTACTGAGTACTGGTAGTAACCGCAGTAACCCTGGTAGTAACTAATTTGTTAGCAATATAGTTATAAACATACTGAGTTTACATAATGACATCGTGTCCCTGCTTCAAACGCTGCTGCTAATAACAAGCTGTTCATATGCAGGTGACTGTGAGTGAGTCCAGGTTCATGCTACTGCTATGAGGTTAAGTAGTCAAAGTAGTCGCACTACGTCTATCGTCCTTCACACTTCGAACTCAGTTGAGATGGGTCATGAATGATGATGGTTGGGCTTCTGTTGCAGAGCCTTTGCAGCCAGCTGCACCCCCGGCCGCCAAGCGAGCCCGGGGTAGACCGCGGAAGCCAGAGCAAGGTGTGGCAGCAACAACTTCCAGAGATTCCTGTGATTCCAGTGCTGTGCAGGGCCGTGGCGGCTACAGTCCTGGTTCAGTGGTTGATCGTGTGCTTGCAGTGGGAGGCAACATCTTAGGAAGACTTGGATCGTTATTTCAACGCAGGCTTTGGAATGCGTTGTGCAAACATGTTGCTGCTCCGGCCATCCCCGAAAGGAAGCCGCAAGACAACCCTGCTGCCTTTCTGGTAGAGTCGATGCCGCTTTTAAATATCTCGACACAGCAGAAGGTCCTGCCAAGAGCCGGCAACAAGGAGACTTTGAGCTTGGACGAGAAGCGCGTAGCCACTTGTTCGTTACTGTTTGCAGGCCAAATGGTGGGATTCATGATGGCAAGATGCTTGGAAGTAACCTCCCTTCCAAACTGTAACTGGAAATTGGTTGCTCTGCTGAAGCGCAGGAGATACGACGAAACACCGACTCGCATATCACTGCGGGAGAAGAGGAGTGTCAGGGCGTCCGAGAAAGAGTTTGGCAAGCAAAAAGTCACAACAGAATGTGCCAAAGTCTTCCAGACTGAGCTTGGTTTGGGGCTTGTTTTGGCCAACAAGTCGTCAGGGCAAAGTTTGTTGATGCGGTTCACGATGCCCACAATCATGAGCTGCGTCGACAGTGCTTCTGCGGAGAACGTGAAGCGCACACAGCTGGAGGCAGAGGCATTAATTGCATCCTTGGACGAGATCCAGAGCAAAGTTGGCCATGTCTTTTCGCTGCCTTGTACAGATCGGGCATCCTCCAACATAAAGGCTGAGAATGACATTGGGAGCCAAAGCGCAAGTGCTGTGAACTGCCACTTCCTGTGCCAGGTCCACAAAGCATCCCAAGTTCAGTCAAAACAATTTGACCATTGCGAGAGACATATATCCGGGCTTCTTCACTGCGCCCTGGCCATGCGCGGGGCTGGGACCCGGGGTGAACTCCGGAAGATGCTCTTCGAAATCATCGAATCAAGGCTCAGCATTCACTTGGGTGAGGCACCACCCCAATATGCAGAGCATCGAAACTGTGTGTTGGACCTCTATGTCAATGGTAAGTACAACCAACATGGGAAATCTCCACAGAAGCGATTGGCATTGCAGAGATGCATCCTTTCATACTTCTTCCCAGGAAACATCCAGGATGAGAATGTCGTCGAATTCTATGTGAGGGAACCAACTTCGCGACAAGAGGTTCTTTCTTGGTACAAGCAATGGGCCATCCCTATGCTGTTGCCGAGCGTTTGCCCGATCTACCCTAGGTCCAGATGGATAGGTGGTGAGTGCAGCTTGAACTGGGCAGGCCTGCTCTGCTCCTTTCACAACTTGTTGAAACCCTTGATGCTGAAGTTCGGAGCTCCTCGTGGATTTCCCGCCCCAGCAGAAGCACCCAGGACTTCAGCAACCTTGCACACATTTCAAAGTGGCTGGGATTGTGTTGCAGTGCCTGCAGAGGTCCGGCCTGACGAGTCTCATGAGTCTGAGCATCAAACTGATGCACCTGATCTTGAAGCTGAAGGTTGGGCCAACTCAGTGGATTACAACCCTTTTCTGGCTGCCGACAGTGAGCGGGACTTGCTGGACAGGGCAACCGGCAATGTGGACTGGCAGCGCTTAAATGCATCAATGAAGCTTCGGGCCGCACGGTGGGCCGATCGTCCCGATGTTGGTGCTGCCCTCATCTGCATGAGGAGCTGCATGGAGCCGTGCCTCCACCTGATGCACAGTTTGTTGGAGCTGGCATCCTTGAAATTCGACAGGAAACAGCAAAGTCTGGTGGCTCGAGGCAAAGTGCGTGACTACCGAGTTGTGGCAGTTGCAAACTTGACAGTGAGGGTCTTCCAAATGATCAATGGCAAGTTCCGTGACACAGTTCGAGCTTTGCCCTTGCAGCACATGACACGCAGGACCCGAGTTCTGCTTTTCAGGATGCTCTCGAGGGCAGGTGGTGGGATCAACATGCTCATGGGCCGCGACCAAGGATATCCCTTCAGGCTTTTTCATTTGCTCCTGTCAGGGCAGGTGGAGAAGATCTTTCAAGATCCTGTTTGCTTGTATGATGAGCTTACCACCAAACTGCTCATGAAGTTTCCAGATTCTAAAGCTTTGACATCGCTGGAGGGATCATCTGTCGTGGAAGCTCTTGCAGAGATGATTTCTGTGGACATCGCTGGAGTAGAAGCTCGACATGCTGCTGCTCGCAGAATCAACAGCATTCGTTCATGCCAAGCTCACACGATGAGTTTCGAATCCTTATCCTCCTTGACAATCACACGAAGTCTGGTTAAACACCGCCTCGATTGGTTGGAAGCCAGGGGCCTTTTGCCTCCCAAGGAGAAAAGGAGAAGGCGGCGAGAGGCGAAGGAGAAAAAGTTCCATTGTGGTGGTGGGGCATGGAGAGCTTTTCTTCACCTGAAGAAGGGTGGCTTTGCCAAGAGCAAGGCCCTGAGTCCACTGTACCAGCAGATCAAATCTCAGGGTCTGCAAGAGTGGCAAGACTTGAAAGAGATTGGGAAGATGGGCACTGTGTCAAGCAGAGCCGGGCATGCCTCATTTGGCAAGAGGAAGTTTGCTGGCAAGAAGCAATTGCAAGCCATTGCTGCTCCCAAAGCCTTGGAGCAACAGCTATGTCGGGTGGCGCAGGCTTGCAGCCAGGAAGCTTTGCGAGACAAGGAGGATTGGCAGCAGACAGTGGCTAGTGTTGCAAAGCATGCAAGTGAAGAATGCGGCCGTCTTGTTTCGCTAGGCCATGCTGCAAATGATGGGGGGACGCCTGTGACCAATCCAGCAGCGCTGCTGGCCAAATCCATGGCGCCCTCGATGCTGCCTTTGTCTTTGTCTGGATCCATGCTTTCCAGAGGGCTCCCAGCTGCAGAGGTTCCAGACACTGAGGTGGATGGGTTGGATGGCTCAAACTCCGGGTCCAAGCCATCTATGCTTTCTGTGGAGTGCCTACCTCCAGTGGCAGAACTTGTCAAGGACGGGATGGTTTCGGCCCCAAGTTCAAGCAGCCTGTAGGCTCTAGACTCTAGACTCTAGTGTGTGTGTGTGTGTGTGTGTGTGTGTTTATGGCTACTTACTACAACCTGTCTTGGTTCAGTAACTGTAGCAACTGTAGCGCTGTAGCCAGTGTTTAGTCTCAGTGTGTAGGTGAGCCAGTGACTGCCAGTGGCAGAGGTTGACACCCTTCCCCCGACCTGAAACCTGAGCATATAGCAGGCAGCCATTCTCCGCCAATCACCAGTATGATCAGGACCCAACAGCTGAATAACTGGGACTAGTGACTAGTGACTAGTGGCTACTGAGCGACAATGACCAGGACCTAGACTCCTCTACTCGACGTGGCAAACTCAGACTTGGACATACTTTGTCATCTTTTGCAGCCCACCTATCTTGGCGGCTACTGAACTGTGCTACATAGATCTGATCTATCAGAATCTATCATCTATCAGCTATCAAAAGAGAGATTGACAGATTAACAATTGTTGACTGCTGATGGCTACCAGTGTAGACAAGAATGTCTACTAGTAGTTAGTAGAAAATCGTGATTGTATTGGTTGTATTGAATTTTATTGATTGTCGTGTGCCAAAATTGACTTAGCCGGACATAGCCATGGAGTCGCAGACAAGCAGGGTTTAGGGAGTGTCTGATACTCGTTAATCCATTGTTGAAAGCATTTGTTGAATCACCATCTGGGCTAGACGGCTAGAGTCGGCTAGAGTCGGCTAGCGGCTAGAGCGCTTGGCAGAGGTTTCTCTTGTTGTTGTTGTTGGTGGTGGTGCTGCTGCTGTTGCTGCACAGATCTAAACCCAATCCCCAACCTCTGACTCTACTTGATATCATTAAAATACAAATACCTCCTCCAGCCCCTGAAGGAATTCTTCAGCACTTTGCCCAACAGAAGTGGCTTGCTCAAAGAGCTCGTGGAGGTCACCCAGTCTCAATCTGCAATGCGTCTGCACTGCGATGCCCCATCTCTGTCTGGGGTGCACAGGGGGCTGGACTTTCATGAGCAGGAATGTTGCAAAGTTGCAGAGTGTGTTTGTGGCAAGCACGTGACTGCCCAAAGGATTCATGCCAATCTGGTGTCACTTTTCCGCCCTTTCCTGCGGGTCAAGCCTGCAGCAAAAGCCAAGCCAGACGCCGACAGTGCTCGGCAAGGATCAAAGCCTGCAGTGCAGAAGGGGAAGAAGCCTGTCCCGCGGCTTTTCATGGAGCAAGGGCTTCTGGTGTTCAAGTTCACAAAGCTGCCGCCAGAGGGACAGATGCCGAGTTTTGACACAAGTGCAGGTTGGGACACAGTCTGCCAAGAACCTCTTGCGGATGCTGATCAGGACTCCGGACAAGGCGTGGAGCAATCCCACGTGGACGAAAGCATCTGGGTGCATGTTTCATATGCCAATTTTCGGGACTGGCACTTCAGCTTCCTCCTGTTGGATGAACAGCCTGAGTCCCAGGTAACAACAGATGGTCGGCAACTGACTGTGCTGCGAGTTCCGGAGCCCTCAATTTTCTTGCGGGACACTGTGGCATTCAAACAGAGATTTGATCTCAAGTTTGCTTGGAAGGCTGCGATGTATATCATCTTTGTTGACGACAGCGAGCTGGCTCCATTAGACATGGCGCCTGAGGTTGTTGAAGTGCTTCGGCTGGCCTCTGTTCCGGAGCTGCTTGTGTGGAAGGCTACTGTTGGTTGCAGCGAAGTGTGTTTTCACATGTGGTGATCTCTTGTTGTTTCAGTGTCCAGTTATTAGACTGACTAGTTTCCGCTGCCACTAGTAGTTACATTAGTTATCATAAGTCACAGTCATTACCCAGTTAGTCAGTTAGTCACTGTTAGTTAAGTTAGTTAGCTAGGTCGCTGGGTTAGTTAGCTCTTATCAGCACAGCTGAGTAGCTAGCAGCTAGCAGTTATGTCATTTTTGTTACCGCAACAGTCATAACATTATGGAAGCAGATGCATAGGCTGCAAGTAGAGTCAAGTGCGCATGGAGGGAGTAAGGCTCGGTAATAAATTGAGACTAAATCACTAAGTCACTAAGTCACTAAGTGGCTCAGAAATACAATTTTCCGGTATTCAATAGTCAATAGTCAGGAGCGATAGTTTGATAAACATGCTTCAATTCTGCTGTTTTTTGCCTTGCAGTCTCTGATCAGGGTGCGATGGAGGAAAAGAGACTGCAGAAGCTGTATGGCACGAAGAAGCGCAGTGGTGGAAAACCGAGAAAAAGAAAGAACAAGAGTTCATCTTCTCGACCTTTGAAGAAGCCGCGCCAGCTTGGAGCAGCTGCTGCTGCACCTGACGATGCTGAAGCTGCTGATGGTGCCGACAATGCCGCTGCAGCCGAGGACAGTGAAGGAACTGATTCCCAGGCTTCTTCGGAGGCCGAGGCATTGTCCGATGATGATGCTCCAGTCGCTCCATGGATTCTCAGACAGATTGATGTGGTAGAGGCTGCCAAGGCTGCCAAAGCCAAGGCCAAGCCAAAGAGTTTGGCCCAGAAGATCAGCAAATGGCTGCCGAAGCGTGGGCCCAGATTTGGTGGCGACACTGGAGGGGGAGATGGGCCTGCAGGGCCAGCTGCATCAGCAGAACCGGCATCGTCGTCGACCGACCCCATGCCAGCTCGTGCAAATCCTCCTCCAGCCGAATCTGCAGAAGATGGCGATGAAGCCCTCCAAGTGGCAACTTCTGGCAGGAAGCGGTCCTACCTCGAGCAAACGTGTGATATTGATGGTTTTGGTTCCATTCACTTCTATCCACCAGCCCAAAACTTTGTTGCTTTCTGCCGCCAAAAAGGCCATGAAGACTGCAGAAAATCCAGGACATGCAAGCCATCAACTTTACCTGCCCGTGCAGGGCAGGGCAGACCTCTTGGACTGCTGGCTCAGTGGCTTTTCTGCGGCAAGGACCATTCCACTCGAGAGGCTCACCAAGCTCCTAAGCTGTTGTCATCCTTTACACAAGCTGAACGATTGTCGGCCCGGCAACGCTTCTTGAAGCTCCCTGGTGCAGAGGCGATGGCCCGCAACGAGCGGGTGAGAAGGGAGGATGAAGCTGAAGAGCCGGATCGAGTTCCATAAAGCGGCTCCCATGACAACATCAGATGCTCGGTACGCGTGTTGCAGTGCTTTGCCCATGAAGAGAAAAAAAGCAACTCAGCACTGCCAATTTTGCCAGATTCAGTGATGCTCAGCACTTGCCAAACTAGCAGCTAGCCGGGAATCCCCTTTGCATATGCAATCCCACCAATCCACTCTCAGATTAGATCAGATATGTGTTCCGGCAGGATCTACATGGTGCTGCTGAGGAAGGACATCTACTCTGCAGATGATGCGACCAAGCTGAGTTGCATCATGCAGGCGCTTTGGGCTGCAGTGATTGCAGTGAATATGAAAGTTGCCAGCTGTTTGAGCATGCAGCAGGTGGTTAAAGTTTCGGCCATCATGTCAGTTGCAACATGAGTCTGAGTACAGTGTACAGTGTAAAGCAAAGGCTAAGTCGGCTAAGTCGGTTGAGGGATGTTAATCTGCTAATCAGTGTGTTTGCTGCATATGAGGAGATCTTGGATGGCCAAAAGGAGGTGCCTCCAGCGTCTATTCGTGAGCTTATGATGCAGCCTGACCATCCACAATATGAGAAGAACCTGGAGATTCTTGCAAAGCAAGGGGCGAAGAAGGCCTGGCAAGCTGGGATTGGGTGGGCATGTCAAGGGTCACAATTTCTGTCACATTTCCTGCTGATTCACATTTCCCGTCACATTTTTCGAACCATGGATTTTCCAGTGCTTTCAGGGCCACATTTTCGGAGCTTTTTTTTCACATTTGATTCACATTTGATTCACATTTTTTTCACATTTTTTTTCACATTTTTTTCACATTTTTTTTGCATTTTCCCTAGGGAGTGACCACTTTTCGGCCCAGGCCAGGGCGGGCTGGCATGGGGGGTCTGGGGGCGGTGAACGGGGGGGGCCGGGCACTCCCCGCACCAGCCCAGGGGCCCAGGCCTGGGGCCCCGGCCAGGGCCAAGGCAACGTGAGGATTGGGGCCGGGCCGGGCGTGGGGTCTGTATTCTGGAGCTGTGGCCTGGGGTGGTTGGGGCGCCTTGCTTTGAGATGTTGAGGGAGGGGGCACAGGTTATGGGTGCGGGCCCGGGGCTTTGGGGCCCAAACTTTGGGGTGCACAGGTTGCTTACTGACTGATAAGTGGTTGGGGACTTTCCGGGCACAAAAGGTTGCTTATGCTGATGGGTGGTTTAGGCTTCAGGGTTGCAGAACAGCTCCATACAGAGTTTGATTTGGGTCCCTTTGGGGCCTGCATTGTCTTGAGGAAGCTTAGCGGCTTAGCTGCGTTGCGTTGTTTGTTCAGTCTTGCAGCTTGAGTTCTTGGAAGCGTACAAGCAAGGCCAGGCAGACTGTGACTATCAGATCATGGATGATCATAGTTGTTCATGTTGTGCTGCATGTTTCCCTTGGGCCTTGGGCTGATTTGCTTCGGCATGCGTTGTCAGAGTCTGTCGGGGTTTGCCAGAAGTCAATGTAGGAATGTAGGCTGTGCAGGTCAGTGCTTTGTTGAACAGATGTGCATGCCCAAGAGTCCAAGTCCAAGAGCCAAAAATCAATAATTTAGAAGCTGCCCGCACCCTGTAATAGTGCCATAAGGATTATATTAATATTATACATATATATATATATATATATATATATATATATTAGGGCCCTATTGTATTCCTATTATACCACTATTACAGGGTGGGGGCAGCTTCTAATCAATAATCTATCAATATAAACGACAATCATTAATCATTAATCCCATTCACCAAAATTTCCTGGCCCTATTGAACTATTGATAATGATTACTTATAATGTCCAATACTTTCTCCAAATAGTATTATGTTAGTATGTTAAATCTTCTTATTGCCATTGTAATGTACCGCATTGGCGCCGCATTGGCACTAGTCGCTGTTCACTATTCAACACGGTCACCAAAGCCTTTAGCAGTCACTCGGGTAATTGGGCAATTGGGGGACTTCATAGTTCCAAGCAGATTCTTCTGTGCAGGATGCCCGCACTCGTGGCGACAGCGGGGGCTTCCCTGCCTGGAAGGCACAGGCGGTTCGGTGGAGCGAAGCCATTGGAGTTGATGTTGCTAAGCACCGTGTTTGGACAAGTCGGCGAGACTTTGTGGGACGGGGTGTTCCACAGAATGAGCGGGTGCAAACCATGCTTGATCTGGTGTGTCTCCAGAAGTGGTCTGAGCATCCAAACCGTGGGTACCTTCGTGATGTTGTTTGGCCTGACCTCATGTGCAATGTGTTCCTGGACTGGAGCCAAAATCCAGCTCGCAGGGCTTATTCAGGAAAGAATGGAGAGATGCGCTGTTTGACTACATCCTCCCAACTCTACTCCTTTGAAGCCGACCGGGCACTCTTTCCGATTGAGTACATGAGGCTCCAGGGATGGGGCTTTGACATTGCTATCCCTGAGCAGTGTGCAGGGAAGATGCGAGAGCTGTCAGGGCAAGGCATGTCGCTGCCGTGCCTCGGAGTTGTGATTTGGGCAGTGTATCTGCTGAAGGGCCTCCCGTCTTGTGCCGTTCATGCTGATGATGATGGTGATTGGGAGCTTGATTTGCGCTGACAGACCTCTTGCTTTTCTGAGCAACTTTCAATACTTCCTCCTAGGTCCTAAGTCCTAGGTCCTAGGTCCTAGGTGTAGGTCTAGGTCCTAGGTGCCAGGTCCTCACTGTCGCAACCCAACCCAACAAACCGAACCGTACCTACCGGACCTAACGACCTAACCTAAAGACCTAAACTATGCCCTATAACTATAACTTAACTAATAAACTAAATTTACCTGAAGTATAAATTAATTGAGTGATTGACTGTTATTAACAGTAACAAACAACTACCTAAA